ATTGTACACGTTGGTGAGATCGATGAAATAAAGGAATCATGCAGAATGTACACTGAATTTACGAAAGCAAACTTCGTTTACCGTGAGACCGTGACTAAAGGCTTCAAGAATATATACGATGCCTTTATCGGCATGTTGCACGGTGATAACACCGGCAAAGCGATTGTTCAGACTTAGATATCAACGCGGGCATTTGGCTGGACAAAACTGTTAGCCTGTTTGCCGAATGTAATTGAATGTGATTGATTGGCTCTATAAGTAATAACCATATTTATTTGCTCGGCAAGCAGATTAGCCGCTTTGTTGACTTGAACGCACTCAGTCAAGTAGGCATTCCAAAGATACTTCTTACAAGCATTTTTGTTTTGCTTACAATTTTACATTTACATTTGCAATGTTTTCCATATTTTTGAAAGATTAAAAACACGAGTTTCGAATTTTGTACTTTATTCTTAGAGATCCTTAATTTTTTGAATAATAATCAGGCATTTAAACATTTAAGTGCCGTAATTAATCAGCACATATTTGGGAATTAAAAACATCTGTTTGCGTTACATCCAACTTCTGACTAAAAAAAGTTAGATATTCTTAAAAGTTGGATATTCTAAAATGACGTAAATATAAATTATTTTGATATATTATATGCTCGCGTATGAAATATATGTGATTTAGCGTCTTTAAGTGAATTAAACGAATGCCTTGAATTACGTACGCCATGTCACAAATGAATATTTCCAACGTTAAAATAAATTTTTTTTACAAATAGTTGTATCTATTAATATTAATTTATTATTGTGACTTTGTATTATTATGACACTATACATGTATGTGATTCAATTTCTTGGTGATTATGAATTTAAAATATGGAAAAACTTTATATACAGTGTATGATATTTATAAGAATATATTAGAGTTAAATTAACTGTTAATTTCAATTTATTGCCTTTTTAATATGATACATGTTAATAACACAAAAATACATGTTAAAAATACAACACAAAATTCGTTTCAGCGTTTATCTACTAGCACTAGAATATGGATACTATTGATAAGATATAATGATTCACATTATTCGATTTCCAAATTATCGGTCAGAAGGTTTTGTCACAAGCTGCATCGGTCTGTTTGATTGTATGAGGTCTGTCGCAAAAGTATCCGACTTCTGCATATATCTTTGACCTTGAGCATCCTATTATGGAAAACAGTTTTTATTATGGAATTCAATATTTAGAGTAGATCTTTAGAAGTATCTCCACCAAGCGGCACGATCCCCCAACAGCTGTTCAGTTGGCAATAATACGCAGTTGTGTGAGCGTCGAAAACTCCGAGCATTGCATTTCACAATGACTGAACGATAATGCACCTGCTCATTCATCTCACCTGATTCAAAAATTTTTGACTAAACATTGTCCAACTTCGTCAACCTCCGTACAGTCCAGATATAGCCCCATGTGACTTTTGGTTATTTCCTAAGTTGAAACATCCGTTGAAGGGCAAAAGATTTGACGACGTTGAAAAAATAAAGTAAAATGTGACGAGGGGGCTGTTGGCTATCACAATAAACGACTTCCAGAATTGCTTTTGCAAGTGGGTGCAACTGTTAGCAGAAGGTCATTTCTTCGAACGAAAACTACTTTAAAGACGAGGTTGTTTATATTACTTCAAAATAGCTCTTTCTCATAATATAGGCAAAAGTCGGATACGTTAGGACAGAC